GGAACATGAGAATAGGCCAAGTGAGTGCAGAATTCTCCCATTACCTCTGAGAAATGAGTCAGCTGCTCCAGCACGAATTCTTGTCACTTGCTAGTTTCATGATTACTTAATACTACATCGGTGTTACAGTAGAATTTGATTATTTAATTCAGTGTTTCTCAAAACAGTCCACAGCGACGCCCAAACGGTCCACATTTTTGCTCCCTCCCAGCTCCTAGCATACAGTACCTGAACCAAACAATCAAGGACAAACCAAACGATCAAGAACAAACCAAAACAATCAAGAGCAAACCAAAACAATCAAGAACACTGAATACATGATACAGGAGCACTGGGAGGGAGCAAAAATGTAGGTGCCCCTGAGGACACTGATTTTAATGGATGCAATTTCTCTACACAGATCTTCAAATCTCCTTCCCATGACCACTCTACCCACCCTACATCATGCTTGTTGGTCAGATGATCGACTACTAGATGTGCCCGAAGCTGGGGCAGGTGCTTGGACAGCTCGGGTGGGGGGTGAGTGATGTTACCTGGAGCGTCAGCACAACGTTCTCGGGCTGAGGCGCCAGAGCGGAGGGAGAGCGCACACGCGAAGCGGCGGCGGCGGCGGGAGCAGCATGCAGAAAACAAAGGCATGATCACGGGTGAATGAGTCATTGTCGAAAGCGAACCAGCACAAAACAAGGCAGCTGTGATTCCCCAAGATGTAAACAAGTAACCCCAAGACAAAGCTCCTCTTTATCAATACTTCAAGTTTACATGTGGTCAGCCTATTTCATTTAGGCAACCAAAATGTGCTTCCAAATACATATATACAATATATGTACAATATAGTCAGATTCTTAATTTCTTTACTTATAAAACATATAACACAAAAATACTTTGTGGTCACAAAAGACATTTAGAATAGAAGTGTAATGTCTCAATTAATTATCTTGGTGATTCATGTATGGGCTTTAAAATTGAAAGTGGCTTAAGTAAAACCATGGCGCCCATTCAGGGCGACAGTTCATCCCTTTAGCTCCTAGTGCTACCTGTCACATTACCTTCTGATACTGAGCTTGAAGCGTTCCATACTTTTCTTTGGCTAGTTTGGTGATGAGATCTGAAAAGACATAAGGAGAAAAGAAACAAACTCAGTGGTTTGGAGCGTAAGAAGTCAATCCTTGATCAAATCCAAGCCTGAGTATTCACTTGAAGCACACGTAGCCGGATTAAAGCTGCCTTATTGTGAACGTATTACCAGGCTCTGGGAAGTTATGCTGTGAAAAGTTTGATGGATGGCTCAGTCCTCACGACAATAAAGATGTCACTGGGAAGCCTAATTCATTTCAGATTTAGAATCATGCTTATTGAACCATCGTTTGCAAACAGCATTCGGTCTAATACGGCCAACTAGCCAGTGTGCAGTCCACAAGGGTGGAGATATGGGATTGGACAGTAGGGACATTTCCTTACCAATGTTATGGGTGCAGCGTGTGTGTTTAGGGGGTTGGGGGGTTCGAGGCTGATTTGGTCCTTACTAATGTTCAAACAAAACCTATGCCCTTGGCAGTCCCAATTAAAGGTACAACAGAACCGGGGAACAGAGACCCCCCCTAAACAGTTTTTCCAGACCTTGAGCCTGTATCCCAAAGCGAGATTTATTAGTCAGCTGGATAACTTGTCGGATTTAAGGTACCCAGGTTTAAATGGACTTTATCTCCGTTCACTTTTAGCACAGACTATCTTAAATCCGACAAGTTGTCTTGCTAACCCAAAACTCCAGCTTGCTGATGCAGGCCCTTGCTCAGACAGCTGAGATATCAGCTCTGTTCCAGTTCAGTGTGGGAGGATGTGTCAGCCTTCGGGTAACCATGGCAGAAGCCAGGTGAGGATAATGCGCATGTCATAAGTGTTCCATGCAGGAGAAGTGGGCGGGGACAAACATGGGCCATGGCTTCCAAATTAGATCTACGCGGGTAAGGATTCCGATTCTTCAAGCAACCCACTGATGGATTGTGTTTGCCGCAAAGTTGGTTGTTAAGTCTAAATCAATAGCTGACTTCTTGCGAGACTTTAAGTGGCTCGCATCATACTTGACACAAGCCTGCTGTTGGAAAAGCTAAAACCCCCCCTGCCAACCCCCATCATGTCCTGTGGCGATTTAATCTGACGCCACGCAGTGTTCTCCAACTGCTGGCAGTTGATAGACGCAGCTTCTACAGCAGCTCTCAGATGCAGCGTGAGCAACAGAAAGTAAGGAGTAAATTGGGACACAAGCAGGAACACAAATGTAGGAGAGAGTGACCACTCACACCAGCAGGAAGACGGGAGCAGCAAAAGGTCTGGTTACATTTATTGATTTATATTAACTGTTTATTTAAATATGAATATTATTTAGAATCTGACATGTAAGATTTATATATGAGTTTGCCTAATATTCCATGTTTGAATGTGGAGGAATTTGATTGGACAAAATGGCCAAACAGGAAGCAGGAAGTAGGAAGTTTCAATTGTTTGGTGTGTTTTTGAAAAACTCACATGGATCCTGGATAATTTGTCTAGGATTGAATCCGCCTCTATCCATTGATGATTATTGGGATGATGCTCCATCCACCTTTTAGGTGAACTACGCCTTACCCATAAATCAAAGGTAACCGCACATTAAATGAAAGAAGGGGATTCCAATTAAACACAACACTGAGGAGAGATTTGCTGCGTACAAAGATGCCCTTAAAGCTTTTTATTACCCCAGCGAGTTACTTCAGCTAGCAGGCTGGGTCTGGGTGGCATGGCCCTTAGGAAAATTCATTATGGTTTCCTATGCTTTTATGCAGTAACCATAGTTTTACTATGGTACCTCATGGTACTTTGGTACTACTCATAGTACTACCATGGTGTATCCATAGCACTTCATGGTAACTATGGTACTACTATGGTTTTAAAAAGGACCCAGCAAAGTCCATAGTCATTGTTTCCATAGTTACCCAAAAAACCATGAAAAACGGCAAACCATTGTAAACCATGGTTATTTAATCAAAGTAAAACCATGGTTCATTTTTGTAAGGGGAGGGGGGGGGGCTGGCAAAACCGAAGAATTACATGACCAATTACATGACCAATTACATGACCATAACCAAGAGCTTTCATGCTAATGGGATTGGACCGGGGAAGCTTGACCGTGACAGAAGCTCCACAGCCACCCCACCTGACCAAGCCCCCCTCACGCCACAACATTACTGACATTAATTCTCCATCTGTTCGATCCTTTCGATTCAAGTGGGTACAAGGTTACCCTGAGATTTTCACCCATCCCCCAGGGGGATTCCTATCAGGGACATCGGTAGGTGTGGCCTGTGTATCTTCACCGTTATCTCACAGTCTCACGTGGTCCTCAGGCTACAGGGAGTCCGGAACCTGGTGGGGCAGCTGTTGGGTTACACCTTCAAGGTTGGGCATTCAAATCCTGCTCCGTGTGTGTGGAGTTCTCCCTGTGCTGTGTGGAGCTCTCCCTGTGCTGTGTGGAATTCTCCCTGTGCTGTGTGGAGTTCCACTTATGCTGTGTGGAGTTCTCCTTGTACTGTGTGGAGTTCTCCTTTTGATGTGTGGAGTTCTCCCTGTGCTATGTGGAGTTCTCCCTGTGCTGTGTGGAGTTCTCCCTGTGCTGTGTGGAATTCTCCCTGTGCTGTGTGGAGTTCTCCTTGTGATGTGTGGAGTTCTCCCTGTGCTGTGTGGAGTTCTCCTTATGCTGTGTGGAATTCTCCCTGTGCTGTGTGGAGTTCTCCCTGTGCTGTGTGGAGTTCTCCCTATGCTGTGTGGAGTTCTCCCTGTGCTGTGTGGAATTCTCCCTGTGCTNTGCAGCACAGACCGGGCTGATAGCCCCTGAGTTACAGCACAGACCCGGCTCCCTTCATGTCAGGGTCTAACTTATCAAAATTTAACTAGAATCACGAGTCAAGAAGTCATGGACATATAAGCACTTAATATAGATTGATAGATATATATATATATATATATATATATATATATATATATATTGTTTTTTTTTTTAGAATGACGATATGAAAAATAGAAGCAACAACACGGATATTTCAAACCATCTTTTGCATTTTAAAATTGTGTAAACCATACTTTTTAAATAGTTAACAAAAAAAAAGAACATACATGGAACACATGAAGACAACACCTGGATATTGAATTAAAATAGAGTTAAACTACACATAACAATGTGTCATATTTTTGTTCACCGCACTATGGAGAAAATTTAGAAAAAAGCAAATTTCAAAAGCACTGGTGTGGAACACTGACTAAAATGCAATTATGCAAATGACAGAGTTCAAAAAAAGCCTATCGCAAAGCAAACATAACTTAAAACACCCAAATCCCTCCCAAAAGCTCTGCTTTGTGAACAGAAAGCTTTACTTTCACGTCGAGCTCAAAAAACTCATTTATTCTGAGAGGCAGCGGTCAGTGGGGGCAGCACAGCCACTTAATTACAGCAGCTACACTGGAACGGACAGTGCGTCTCCCAGTGCGTCTCCCAGTGCGTCTCCCAGTAGCTGGAATACAGCCGTGGAATGTCGACAGTGGAGGGTTTTCACAAAACAAAAGAAGAAAGAAAGGGACAGGACAAAATTAAAGGGATTCAGAATCCTCAATCCGGGGAGGTGGATTTAGGGTAGAATATATTTTATTTTGCTTTCAAAGCGGAGACCAGAGAAATCTCCCTTCTAAGGGAAACAACCAGTATTGGAGCAGGGCTGCGAAAGTGAGGAGGAGCGAGGAAGCATCAGTTTTTTTTCTTATACCCTGGCTTTCAGTTCTACACTTTGGTCTATTTCAGAACCTGTTAAAAGCGTGCTATGTGACGCCGTACAGTGTTGATTGGACCTGCAGGCGTGCATCGCTGTGGTTTATGCGTCACGGCCCGTTGACACCTGGGAAAGTGCCGTCAGGGTTGTGGAGGTCCCCACCCCCCCAACGGTGTCAGCTGAAGGAGGGGGGGTCGGACTTACGTGATAATGAACGAGGTGACGGCGAGCATGCCGGTGAAGAAGCCCCGCTTGCAGTCGGCGTTCTTGCGCTGCCGCTGGTGCATCTCCCCGCCGCAGTTGTCGCAGCAGCGGCACATGCAGAAGCAGAGGCCGACCAGGGGCACGAGCAGCACGAACAGCGCGCCCAGCGCCGCACACACCACGAAGCCCATCTCGTAGTAGATGGCCTGCGGAACCACACAGGCGCAGGGTGAACTGGCGCTGGAAGCTTCCGGGTCCGAGGGATGCGGTGCATGGGGCTCAGGGAACGAGCACAGAGCACCAGCATCTAGAGGAGAACACCTGCTGTACCAGTCATGGTTCCGAGAACGTGAGCGAGATGAGAACATTAAGGCTAGGTGTGTCATGAACAAATTAGCAAAACTAATATTACAAATAGGTATAATTTACAGGTTAAACTTATTTATATAACTGAGAGAGTTACTGTAGTAATTCAGGTAAACTACCAAGGGCTTATGAGAGACTCGAACCAACATACTTCAAACACTTGACAATAGATAAAAACAGTTATATTTAGAATCACTGCCTGTAAGTTGTGGTGGAGTTTAGAGAAAAGAAAGTTACCACTAATCAAGTGCAATCCTGAACATACTAGAAAATACAGGCGGAAAAGATATTTGATTATAATTAAGCTGGAAGAAAGGCCTCTATGTTACAAAAGTTTGATAGTGTCATTAGAATGATTATATATATTCTTTTTGCTCATTTCGATTAGAAATGTATATATTCATAAACATGTCCATATCTATTAGCATAGATAAGGCATCTGGCACTATATTGAGTGATTAGCAGAGAACATGGACCCACTGAATATGAACATAAGTCCAACCAGATGGTTGAAAAAAAAAACATTAAATAAAACAATTTCACCCGAATTCTCGTACTTTCATTCTTTGTCACACTGGCAGTACATTCAGTTTAAAAAAAAAAAAAAACACATGGATTATTAATTAATTTTTATTTAAAAAAATTCAAAATAAACTTGTGCGTCTGAAAATATTTAACCTTCGCTAAACATTGCTAAAAAGCCCAAAGAGGAAGCACTGAGAATTCTACAGTTTCCTTTCCAAACTGTGAGCAATTTAATATCCAAACTGCTGAAAACAGGAACATCAGCAGATGGTGAGAGGGAGAAGCAGCATACAGGCATTTCTCAGCTGGTGCAGATCCCAGAATCCGCCGTCGGAGCGGAATAAGGCGAGGATGAACCCCAAAGAGAGGCTGAACCCAAAGTGTCTCCTGAATCTATAGCAGTGGGACTCTGCCCCCCACAAGGCTCCCGCAAGGCATGCATGCCCCCGCCCCCTCCCACAAGGCTCCCGCATGGGATGCATTTTCTGACCGAGGCAGGAAGGTAGTCATGGGAAATTTTTTCTCACATTTTATCTCTTTTACTGGAACATGAGAATAGGCCAAGTGAGTGCAGAATTCTCCCATTACCTCTGAGAAATGAGTCAGCTGCTCCAGCACGAATTCTTGTCACTTGCTAGTTTCATGATTACTTAATACTACATCGGTGTTACAGTAGAATTTGATTATTTAATTCAGTGTTTCTCAAAACAGTCCACAGCGACGCCCAAACGGTCCACATTTTTGCTCCCTCCCAGCTCCTAGCATACAGTACCTGAACCAAACAATCAAGGACAAACCAAACGATCAAGAACAAACCAAAACAATCAAGAGCAAACCAAAACAATCAAGAACACTGAATACATGATACAGGAGCACTGGGAGGGAGCAAAAATGTAGGTGCCCCTGAGGACACTGATTTTAATGGATGCAATTTCTCTACACAGATCTTCAAATCTCCTTCCCATGACCACTCTACCCACCCTACATCATGCTTGTTGGTCAGATGATCGACTACTAGATGTGCCCGAAGCTGGGGCAGGTGCTTGGACAGCTCGGGTGGGGGGTGAGTGATGTTACCTGGAGCGTCAGCACAACGTTCTCGGGCTGAGGCGCCAGAGCGGAGGGAGAGCGCACACGCGAAGCGGCGGCGGCGGCGGGAGCAGCATGCAGAAAACAAAGGCATGATCACGGGTGAATGAGTCATTGTCGAAAGCGAACCAGCACAAAACAAGGCAGCTGTGATTCCCCAAGATGTAAACAAGTAACCCCAAGACAAAGCTCCTCTTTATCAATACTTCAAGTTTACATGTGGTCAGCCTATTTCATTTAGGCAACCAAAATGTGCTTCCAAATACATATATACAATATATGTACAATATAGTCAGATTCTTAATTTCTTTACTTATAAAACATATAACACAAAAATACTTTGTGGTCACAAAAGACATTTAGAATAGAAGTGTAATGTCTCAATTAATTATCTTGGTGATTCATGTATGGGCTTTAAAATTGAAAGTGGCTTAAGTAAAACCATGGCGCCCATTCAGGGCGACAGTTCATCCCTTTAGCTCCTAGTGCTACCTGTCACATTACCTTCTGATACTGAGCTTGAAGCGTTCCATACTTTTCTTTGGCTAGTTTGGTGATGAGATCTGAAAAGACATAAGGAGAAAAGAAACAAACTCAGTGGTTTGGAGCGTAAGAAGTCAATCCTTGATCAAATCCAAGCCTGAGTATTCACTTGAAGCACACGTAGCCGGATTAAAGCTGCCTTATTGTGAACGTATTACCAGGCTCTGGGAAGTTATGCTGTGAAAAGTTTGATGGATGGCTCAGTCCTCACGACAATAAAGATGTCACTGGGAAGCCTAATTCATTTCAGATTTAGAATCATGCTTATTGAACCATCGTTTGCAAACAGCATTCGGTCTAATACGGCCAACTAGCCAGTGTGCAGTCCACAAGGGTGGAGATATGGGATTGGACAGTAGGGACATTTCCTTACCAATGTTATGGGTGCAGCGTGTGTGTTTAGGGGGTTGGGGGGTTCGAGGCTGATTTGGTCCTTACTAATGTTCAAACAAAACCTATGCCCTTGGCAGTCCCAATTAAAGGTACAACAGAACCGGGGAACAGAGACCCCCCCTAAACAGTTTTTCCAGACCTTGAGCCTGTATCCCAAAGCGAGATTTATTAGTCAGCTGGATAACTTGTCGGATTTAAGGTACCCAGGTTTAAATGGACTTTATCTCCGTTCACTTTTAGCACAGACTATCTTAAATCCGACAAGTTGTCTTGCTAACCCAAAACTCCAGCTTGCTGATGCAGGCCCTTGCTCAGACAGCTGAGATATCAGCTCTGTTCCAGTTCAGTGTGGGAGGATGTGTCAGCCTTCGGGTAACCATGGCAGAAGCCAGGTGAGGATAATGCGCATGTCATAAGTGTTCCATGCAGGAGAAGTGGGCGGGGACAAACATGGGCCATGGCTTCCAAATTAGATCTACGCGGGTAAGGATTCCGATTCTTCAAGCAACCCACTGATGGATTGTGTTTGCCGCAAAGTTGGTTGTTAAGTCTAAATCAATAGCTGACTTCTTGCGAGACTTTAAGTGGCTCGCATCATACTTGACACAAGCCTGCTGTTGGAAAAGCTAAAACCCCCCCTGCCAACCCCCATCATGTCCTGTGGCGATTTAATCTGACGCCACGCAGTGTTCTCCAACTGCTGGCAGTTGATAGACGCAGCTTCTACAGCAGCTCTCAGATGCAGCGTGAGCAACAGAAAGTAAGGAGTAAATTGGGACACAAGCAGGAACACAAATGTAGGAGAGAGTGACCACTCACACCAGCAGGAAGACGGGAGCAGCAAAAGGTCTGGTTACATTTATTGATTTATATTAACTGTTTATTTAAATATGAATATTATTTAGAATCTGACATGTAAGATTTATATATGAGTTTGCCTAATATTCCATGTTTGAATGTGGAGGAATTTGATTGGACAAAATGGCCAAACAGGAAGCAGGAAGTAGGAAGTTTCAATTGTTTGGTGTGTTTTTGAAAAACTCACATGGATCCTGGATAATTTGTCTAGGATTGAATCCGCCTCTATCCATTGATGATTATTGGGATGATGCTCCATCCACCTTTTAGGTGAACTACGCCTTACCCATAAATCAAAGGTAACCGCACATTAAATGAAAGAAGGGGATTCCAATTAAACACAACACTGAGGAGAGATTTGCTGCGTACAAAGATGCCCTTAAAGCTTTTTATTACCCCAGCGAGTTACTTCAGCTAGCAGGCTGGGTCTGGGTGGCATGGCCCTTAGGAAAATTCATTATGGTTTCCTATGCTTTTATGCAGTAACCATAGTTTTACTATGGTACCTCATGGTACTTTGGTACTACTCATAGTACTACCATGGTGTATCCATAGCACTTCATGGTAACTATGGTACTACTATGGTTTTAAAAAGGACCCAGCAAAGTCCATAGTCATTGTTTCCATAGTTACCCAAAAAACCATGAAAAACGGCAAACCATTGTAAACCATGGTTATTTAATCAAAGTAAAACCATGGTTCATTTTTGTAAGGGGAGGGGGGGGGGCTGGCAAAACCGAAGAATTACATGACCAATTACATGACCAATTACATGACCATAACCAAGAGCTTTCATGCTAATGGGATTGGACCGGGGAAGCTTGACCGTGACAGAAGCTCCACAGCCACCCCACCTGACCAAGCCCCCCTCACGCCACAACATTACTGACATTAATTCTCCATCTGTTCGATCCTTTCGATTCAAGTGGGTACAAGGTTACCCTGAGATTTTCACCCATCCCCCAGGGGGATTCCTATCAGGGACATCGGTAGGTGTGGCCTGTGTATCTTCACCGTTATCTCACAGTCTCACGTGGTCCTCAGGCTACAGGGAGTCCGGAACCTGGTGGGGCAGCTGTTGGGTTACACCTTCAAGGTTGGGCATTCAAATCCTGCTCCGTGTGTGTGGAGTTCTCCCTGTGCTGTGTGGAGCTCTCCCTGTGCTGTGTGGAATTCTCCCTGTGCTGTGTGGAGTTCCACTTATGCTGTGTGGAGTTCTCCTTGTACTGTGTGGAGTTCTCCTTTTGATGTGTGGAGTTCTCCCTGTGCTATGTGGAGTTCTCCCTGTGCTGTGTGGAGTTCTCCCTGTGCTGTGTGGAATTCTCCCTGTGCTGTGTGGAGTTCTCCTTGTGATGTGTGGAGTTCTCCCTGTGCTGTGTGGAGTTCTCCTTATGCTGTGTGGAATTCTCCCTGTGCTGTGTGGAGTTCTCCCTGTGCTGTGTGGAGTTCTCCCTATGCTGTGTGGAGTTCTCCCTGTGCTGTGTGGAATTCTCCCTGTGCTGTGTGGAGTTCTCCCTGTGCTGTGTGGAATTCTCCCTGTGCTTTTGTTGGTTTCTTCCACTTCAACTCCAGGTCCTGCCCATAATTTAAAAACATGTGGTGAGGTGAACAACTGTCATCTCTAAATTGCCGCTGCGTCGGTGTGTGTGTGTGACCATCCTGCTCAGAGTGTCCCCTGAACTTCCTGGCATACACTCCAGTCTAACAGCACCACCCAGTACAGCAGTGCTTCCCAACCCAGTCCTCAGGCACCCTCAGACGGTCCATGTTTTTGCTCCATCCCAGCTCCTTGTAGGAGCAAAGACAGATAAATTGCAAAGATAGATTGTCTGCAGGCATTGAGAAACACTGCCGTACAGGGTAAGCAGGTATGGTGAATGGATGAATAACGAAAGACGGGCACAATGAAAGCAAATGTGCTCAGTTATTTTTATTAGTATTATTTCCACACTTAATGAATTGGGAGCAGGGACTGCAACCATAGAAAGATCTCAAGATATACAGCTAATCCCAAGCATTCAAGTTGATCCTAGGCAAGAAGCTAAAACATCAGGGTGGATGATCAGCTGGGGACCGACTTCTCAAGAGCAAAGAGTGTTTGCATGTATACAGGCAGTTCCCAGGTTACAAACAAGGTCTGTTCCCTTAGTCAGTTTTTAAGTGAAATCCGCAAGTCAGAAAAGTAATAACACAGTACATAATAATTATACAGTAATACTAAAAGTAACTACACATACTGTAGCACTGTACTGTACCTCGGGCCGGCGACCCGCTGAAGCATAATGTTAGCATGAATTTGTAAAGCATTTAATGTTATAAATGACCAGGCCACTCATCTCTGATCTTTTTAAAATGAGTATCTTTTGCCCCACCCAGTAGCCATCAAGTAGTGAATGAATAGAGAATGTGTGTTTGTGCGTGTGTGTGTGTGTGTGTGTGTGTGTGTGGGGGGGGGGGGGGCAGTACTATACAGCTCTGGAAAAAATTAAGAGACCACTCTATATTTAAAAAAAATCTGCATTGTTAAATCCTGGTTTAATCCTGGTTCTGCTGGTAGAGGCTACACTGTGTGGCAGGCTGCTTTCAGGCTCAAAGTTTCTAAGACAGCAGTACATAAGAATAAGGTGAAGCAGGAGGCACTGGGAATGGCCTAAAACCAGCCAGGTAGAGGGCAGGAGTGACTTTCTAATGCCAGAGATGACCGTCAGCTTATCCAGCAGTGCATCATGACTCAGAGGATGACCTCAGGCGACCTTCAAAAGGAATGGGAAACATTAAGTAGTGTGAAGTGCACTGCTAAGCTCTTAGAGGCAAGGAAGAAGTCCTTCATTCAGGCAAGGAAGAAGTCCTTCATTAATGAGAAACAGAGAAGAACCAGGCTGGAGTTTACAAAACAAAATGTATTATTCACAGATGCACACACATAAATTGAGAAATGAGTGAAATTTGCTCTGGTCTCTTGTTTTTTCCCCGCTAGCTGTGTGTATCACTCTCTGCCCCCTCCCAGCTGTCTCATACTGAGACAGAGTGCTGCATCAATAAAGACACTTGGTGCTTGGTGAGGGGGGGGGGGGGCACTCCCTCAGTAAACAACTCAAGCCTCTATTACGCAACTGTAAATCTGGTCTGAAGGAGGCGCCTGAAGGGAGAGAAACAGCAGAGACCTGGGGTGGGGGGGGGGTGGGGTATAGAGAGAGCAGAGGGGGTTAGATACAGTATACCTGCAGTGAGCATAGGTGTAAATATCACCGACAGGTTAGTCTGGTGTCTGTGTGGGGGGCACCATAAATGGGGGGAAAGTGAAGACGATTTGGAACACAGTTAGATTGGTCTGGTCTGGGTTGGGGTCCCAGTATGATATGCATCCATGGGGCCCATAATCTCTAGAGGTGCCCCACAATCATTCACATTAAAATGACATGTCCGTACTACTGTACTATTTCGACTGTTTACAGCCAATGGTTTTTCCATCACTCCTGAAATCGATTGCTTAGAGATGCTTTTAAATCCAGGCAGAGACAGAAACTCGAGTTTACAGCCGTCACAAGTGACAATGGGATGAATGGATTTTCCGAACCCGCCGTGGGTGGAATTACCATGCTGGAACCACTGGTCAGCAGCTACTCCGGCAAACTGCCGCTTGCCATCTCACTACAAAGAATTTGCCCGGCTTGAGTATATGCATCAATGCAGAGAGTCTAACGTAGAAAGTGTAAACATCCTTTTTCCTCGGCTTCTCACATTAGCCTTGCCAATATAATAAATAGGT